CATTTGGTCACGAGTCATTTCCAAATGACCCAAAATTGAGATGATCTATAACGACCAGTCATTTCGGGGTCATTTGAAAATTTTGCAAATGACCAGATCATTTACCATCACTGCTCTAAAGTGCTGATTTATAATCTAATCATTTCATCAGTTTCATATTACAAAACTTAAGACGAAGTATTCGGACCATACTCTTTGAGCTAAAACCTGAAATGGAATATCAAAAGTTAAAATTTTCATCGTTCTACAGAAAAAAATTAATTTTATGCAAACTTACCTAAAAGAACCAGAAAAAGCCGGAAGTCGGCTCTTTCTGGTTCTTTTCTATTAATTCACGTTTTTCATATTCCTTCAATTCTATGATATCTCTCTTTTCTTTTTCTTTTAATTCAATAAGTTGTTGAGCAAGGGCTAGTTTCTCCGCTTCTAATGTTCTAACAAGATCCAGTTTTTCTTCTTTCTTTTGAAGTAACTCGAATTTCTCCTTATCTTTTCTTTCTACTAAATCTATAAGCTCGGTTTTTGTAAAACCATATACGCCACTAATGAATATGATAAAAAATTAGTACGTATTTATGATAAAATAATAAATTAATAAATTAAATAAATAAATTAAATAAATAAATAAATTAAATAAATAAATTAATTAATTAATTAATAAAGAATTAATTAAATTAAATAAATAATAATAATAATAATAATGATAATAATAATAATAATAATAATAATAATAATAATAATTTTTCCAAACGCGTGTAAAATACCCGGACACTCTTTGTCGTTTTGTGTTTTCGGTTACTTCATTCAACTATAATAATAATAATAATATTAATAATGTGTTCATTAAGTAAGTAATATATTTCAATAATCATAAGTTTCTTTAAAGAAATGCATAACCAATTCCCCCTCTGGAATCAGTAGACTTATCAAGAAACTTCATCTCCGCTTTGCATGCATGGAACAGCTTTCGTTAAATGGCTTCCCGAAGACAGTCAAATCATCCTCCTAGGCGTGATATCACGAAGTCCTCTATGTGCAAGAATAACTCGAATGGCTATTCTAGCGACAATTATCCTACGTATAAGTATTCGTGTTCGTAGAATAACTCAGGTGGATAATCGTAATAGCATAAAGTAAGTCGTGTACGTAGAAAAACGTGTAGTTATTCCAGAGAAATCACCCTCGAGATATGAATATGTAAATTCGTCATTGCACAACTATGGAAGAACGTTCACGTTTGAAGACGTGGCCACGGTGCGCTTTCAATTCCATAGTTATACATTATATGATTCCTATACATAGAATGCCCTCACCAAGCAACTCAAACTGTTCCAGCGAAGATATTGATTATATAACTAGAAAAATATACTTGCATTTTTCAGCGTCTCGCTTTCTGACTCCGCTCCTTCTTACCGCTGTGGATTGTGATTGTATAGCAGAAC